TACTAGGGGCTCCTGGCCTTACTACTAGGAACAAGAAGCTACTAGGAGACTACAGAGGAGATCCCCCGGCCCTGGCTGAGTAGACTTGGTCTGTTGTTCCGAAGCAAACGCACGGGGTGGGTGGCGGTCTCCGAATTTAAGCTTTACACACCCACATATTGGGGGCCATTTGGCTTCGGTTTTACTGCTCGCTGTGAAAGTATAGACTCGACAACTGTTCGCGAACACACTCACAGGTCTACTGCCCTGCAAGAACCTGGGGACCCATCCCACGGTTGACCCATCCCACGAGGTCGAATGCGCACCTGACCTTGACCCCCGTCCGCGCAGGGGGTCGATGTGACGTGTGAGGAGCCAGGGCGGAGCCGGGAGCCGAAAGGTCCTCACCCAGAGGAGTGGGGGGGACCTTGCTGCGCCGGCGGATTGAAGTTAAAGTGAAAAACACCGAAAACTATTGTGAAGTTGTTTGTTTGCTCACGGAAACTACATGGAGGTGAGGTGTAAGATTGGTGCCCAAATCGGGGCCCTGATTCTTGCTGGGGAAGCACCAAATGAACATTGGTGCATTGAATTGCTATGGGCGCTTCTTTTTTTAGGCGCTATGGGATTCTTCATTTGGTGCTCAAGTTGCTTGGAACAAGGCCCCCCCCCACCCCCACACACACAGGGCGGGCGCGCCCCACAGAGAAGTTTGAGGAAAAAAGGGGAGTAAACACAAATTGACATCCTATGGGCCCTCTGTGAGGGTGATTGGAGGCCTGTTGTGTATTGTAGGCTTAGAGGGTTCAATTCTAGTACCTTCTAAGAAGGTATGGTGGATCCCTAGAGACATGGATTGACTGCCTCTTTGGGACTGGGGATCGTTTCTTTTTGCGGGCGGAACCATGGAACATTGCAAACTCCAGGTGCGGAAGGTCCTTCAGTGCCCGAGCAGTGCCCCCGCAGTGCGGCTGAGGCTTCGGACGAATCAAAGGTTCTATCACCAGTAACCCTCAAAAAAGCAAACAAATAAACACATAATATAATGCAGACCTGGACCTTCGGGTCGGGGTGTCCAGGCCGGAGGTCCCTATAGGTCGTGGGCGTAGGGGCGAAACCAGCCAGGTGACCCTGACATGAAGGTGTTGGGACGTCTTAAATCTTATAATATATTGATATCTTTTGATTAATAACCCCCTCATGTGGAGAGTTTTTACAATTCAATCCACGGTGGCTTTATCTACTTGTGTTTTGAACTTACTTACGATGTTCCTTCGAACTAATGGGTATGGAGCCGAGCAGCATCCGTGTTGAGGTATAGAAATCTGACTACTATCATCCACTATCCAAAACACGACCCCCACATGTGACCCCTGGTAGTCTGATCATGTTTCACACATACCAGGACAGGACCCTGGAGCGTCCAATATGGGTCTTTGCTGATGATGTGTCGAACCCTTTTTGTTTTTTTTTTTGCCCAGTCGCAAGTCGCAAGAAGTGTCAACCTGTTGGAGGTTGCCAGTGCTTTGGAATTGGACGTTCACGGAAACAACCCATCTCAACAGATGCTCCGATCCGACCGATCCTATTCACTTCCCACAGGTTTCTGTGGGCCAATTTGAGGGCACCTCCTTCGTGCACAAACGCGCTAGTGTGACCTCATGCAAGAGAAATGTGAGCGGAGCAAGTATTTCATGACTTGGTTTCATCGCAGAAAAGCTGTTTTTGTTGGAGCTCACTTCTACATTCAGCACGTCCTTGAGGCTCCGGACTCACATCCGTACAGTACCCAAGCCTACCATGCGGCCCCAAAGACTTGTTTCTAAGCCACCGGGGTGAAAATCCATGTGCCCCAAAAACCGTTTGGGCCCCAAAACCACCAAACACAACACAGACCTCCCAACTGTGCGTGCACCCGAGTCGGGTCCAGATGGGTTGTAGCACAGGTCGTTGGGCCCACGGTAGGACGGTCGTCCACTTGACTCACCAAACCTCGGCACAGGAGGTTTCTCCCCATGCGAGTGGAAAGTGGTTCGGGACGATCGGCGGATGCGCCACATGGTGTTGGTAGCGTAGCAGATCATGACCTATCATGTTTTATTCAGCATTAACTGGTTGTTTGCTCGTGAAGCTACAGATGTGTTTCGTGAGTTTCTGCCAAGAGCATCAGTTGGGTGTTGCGTGTTTGCGAGCTCCTCGGTAAGTGAACCGAGCATGTTAGATACTCACTGAAAGTCGCCAAGGGGGAGGAGCAAAATGCTGCGAGGAAAGGGAGAAAAGGACGGCCGAGTAGCTAGCTGGCTAGATTTGGTCGGGCATGCTGGTGAGGCAGGACCAATCATGAGAAGTGCAGCAGGAAGCATCGTCATCAAACTAGAAATACCATGTGTTCTCCTACATGGCAAGAAGTGAGTGTAGCTGGTTTAAGAAGTCCCTTGGCAGAGATTGGGAGTTCAAAATTTTGAGCCTTTGCCATTTGTTAGTCCATGTTTGCTTTCAGAATCCTATGCATGCTTCGGTCAGAAGCTCTCCCCGCCTCTAACCCCTTTCCCACTGACTGCCTGCAAGCAGCAAAGTGTGTCCCCGCTGCCAGACTTGCTCCCCTCATGTTTTTGCGATCCTGCTGCTTCCAAAAAGACACTCTGAAGCGGGGTAAGGAAGGTGAGATTGTTGGCTCATTGTCATTAATGTCATTTCTACCAGATCTCAGCAGATTGAGGATCCGATTTGTCAAATCAATTAAGGCCACGACAAGCACGGATGGGGCTTCAATCTGCCAAGATCACAGGTGCGTTGGCAGCTTGGAGATCCTCACATTTGCTCGATTCTCGATGAACGTAAATGTATACAATCCGTAGGAAAGAGAGGGGAGCGCTGAGCAAATTCCGTCTCTTGACTGAAGCTTGGAAAGACGTTTAGCTATCTTGTGCCATACTATGGCGTTTCTTAAGGTGCCTCTATCATGCTACAACCCCCATAATGCTTATGACATCCTAATGACCATCTATCCCAATTGACCCCTAGTTTGGTGGGAAAGAAATGTTTAGATCATTTGGCACTCCAGAGTTAACAGGGGAAATTCGCTGGTGACCCTTGGCTTTTGGACTGCTTCGTGTTTGCTCTTCAGAGCGTACTCTGTGGACACCTCGCCTTGCCAGCCACGACTGGAAGACGCCGCGTCCGAGGCGGACGACGTTTCTTTCAACGATGCGAGTGGGGGACAATGTGAGTGTGGAACCATTCAAAGATACCGTTGTATATACGAATACACAGAGCAAAAACGGGCTTGGTAGATTGGAATATATTGGACTCCTTGGTTGAAGACTGATTCTACGGTACACCTTGTTTGGTCAACGGTTGGACTCCGATTATCGATTGGTTTAAGTGGATCCAAGTCAATCTAATGGAGTTTGAACCCGTGGTCTTAGTTCTTCGGTACAACACTGGAGTTGTGAACCTAAATAGTATATGAACAAGTGTACTGCATGTAATGAATGATATTTTCAGACCAAGCCCTCCTAGCTCATCAGAAAGGGGGTAACCAAGCGATGCCCAATTGGTCTTTGCCTGGCACAGTCTGGATTTGGTTTGGGGATCCTAGGTTTCGCAAGAAGTTTCCTTGGTAAGAACTTCACTTGGCAAAAGTGTTGACCCTGGCTATGAAGGGTCCAGAGCTAGTCTTTTGGGATTTTAAGATAGAGAGGTCACAAATTCCCATTGATTTGCAAAAAAGATAGCAATTGCCAATTATGGAAGACTAACCCAGGGTTTGACCGAACCTACTTATTGTTAATACTATATCTTTTTGAAAGACCCCGTAAATATTAGGAAATTCTTAGGATCCAGAAACATAATCATTCCTCGACCATTGGAATGGATTCACAATCCGAATATTCTATTCGGATTCTATTCTAAACTAATACTACATTTGAAATCTAATAATAGAAAATATATATATATATTAATAAATAGATATTGTAATCTATATTGAATTATGTTTTAAAATAAATATATAAAAATAATATTTATAGGTATAATTGAATGGTTTAAATTATCGATCATATTTATATATGGGATATTTAGATATTTAAATATTAAATTATAGAATAGATATATATTATTTTTATTTGTTAGGTGAGGATATATAAATATTAATTTTGTTTTTATTTATTAATTTTTATTATTATTATTTATTGTTAATTTGTTTTATTTAATTTGTTTCGCCAATTTGTTAAGTTCGTTCGGGATTGTTGTATTCTTGGAGTTTAATCGTAAGGATTCGATTGAAGTGCATATTTTTGGATTTTTATTGTAAGGAAATTTTTGGATTTTGGTCGTAAGGATTCGATTGTAATTTGCTTTCTTGGATTTGATGTGTTAGGATTCGATTGTATATATATTTAGATTTTGTTTATAAGGATTCGATCGTGGGGTATATTTTTGATTTTTAATTGTAAGGAGCCGATCGTGGTAGACGTTTTTGGATCGTAATTATGAGGAGTCGATCGTAGTGTGTATTGGAAGGGTTCGATCGTAATGTTTGGTTTTAATCGTAAGGATTCGGTCGTTGTGTGCGGTTTTGGTTTTTAGCCGTGAGGAATCGATTGTGGTGTATTTTTTGGATTGAAATTGTAAGGATTTGATCGTAATGGGTACCGTTGGATTTTTATCGTATGGAGCCGATCGTAGTATGCATCGTTGGATTTTGCTAAATAAAATGCCTAATAGAATATTAGATAGAATATTGTAACAAGATATTTTAGACAATATGCTAAATATATGTTAGATAGAATAGTAAAAAATATAATAAATAATATGGTAGATAAAATGCTAGAAGATATATTAGATAGAATGTTAGGTAGATGTTAGGTTGGGATTAAAAGTAATTATTGTATTGTTTTTTTGTTATAAAGATTTATCGAATATTTTAATGGTATTGTAATTTAATAGATACGAGGATGGGATTATTATGGTTATTTTGATTTTTTAAATTGGTCGTTATTAATTGATTTATGTGAACCACGGTCAAAACATGCGAAGACCACTTTAGTAAAGAGGGGTAGATTTGTGCATAAAACCCTGCAAAAGGATAAGGTCTACTTCAAAACCGATGATGTCTATTTTTTAGCTGAAGAAGAATAAGGAATTTTGACCGTCCCTCATGTATTTATATTATTTTTTTTTATTTTTATTGTTATTTGGTTTCTATTGAAAAATCGTTCGTGCGATGTAAATATATCGTATTATTTAGATTAATTAATTAGATATTAATATTGAATGTTAATATAGATTTTATCGAGTATTAAATTTATTACGTGAAATTTAATATATTATAGATATTTAAATTAAATTCTCGATGGAAGGTAGGTATAGGCGGTATTGGGATATTAATCGAAGAACGGGTCGTAATTGAAATTTGTTGGAACGAATATTGGAAAGAATATTTTGTATGTAGTAATTAATGATTTTCTTTTATTTTATATTTATGTGTCGTAAAATATTTTATATTTTGCGTAATTTGTTTCGTACCTCTGATAATTTTGTTTATTCTATATGGAATTCGTTTAGAAAATAGGAAGAAATCTTGTCTGTTTAAGCTATTTTGGTTTAAGGGATCTGGTTCAAGGGATCCTATTTTGGTCCCCTAGGTGTGACGTAGTTTTGGATTCAAGATGCTAATTTTTCGATTTTCTGCGAATTGTCGAGGTGTTGGGTGGAATTCTTGGCTTTTTGTAGATCGGATGCACAAATGTGAAAATTATGGCATTATTCTGCAAAAGAAGCCGGTTGTTTTGTGAAGGGGCATGATAAATCCAGGAAGAGGGTGTAATGGGTTGATTGGAATTTTCAGCGTCGGGATCACGTGTGGCTACGATCTCGAATCTATAAGAAAATTCTTTTATGAAACCCACTTGCTTTACTAAAAGCATTTGCGAAGAAAGAAGCTGGGCATCGTTGGATGAAGGCGCCAAATAGGCTACAAGAAAGAAAGGATATACTTTTGATCCTGCTCCGTTGCCAGCCAAGATTGTTGACTTGGAATTTTTGAAGACTCACCTTGATAATTTCCCAAAGAAGTCAAAGAACATGTCCAAGGCATTGTTGAGCCCACTAAAACACCTACTGAGCAAGGCCGTGAGTGTAGCCGGGCATTTAAAGATGCAAATGGGAACCTCCGTTCATTATCAGAACGAAAGATTCAGCTCCAAGGCCGCATTGCCAATATTAATAATATCTTGGCATTTTCCTCTCGGAGATGCAAACTTTGACGGAAGACATCAAGTCGGCCGAGGATGAGGCACAACGTAATCAAGAGGCATTGGCAAAACAGATGTTGCATGATACCCAGGCCCCGCATGATGGAGTTTCAGGATTGCTTGCTTAGTTGGGGATTGATTTGACTGATGAGCAAAAGGACAAGTTGGCAGAGTTGGCCTGTTAGCCACGGAAACGGTCTAGGCTTGAAGCCTATGATTCGAATGATGGTTTCATGGGTTGGCAGGCTGACGATGTTGCCCCTTTGTTTGGGTAACGATGTTGTGTTCTATGCTTTGGATATGTTGCAGCATGTTGTTTTGCTCTTAGCTCAGCTTATCCGGACCGAATTCGAGATATCCTTTGCAAAGGTTCGATGTAACCTGTGGGTCCGCCCTTTATAAGCTATTTACAATCTGTTTCGCCGATTTTTTCTGGCAAGCTCCGGA